GCTCCTCTGCCGATAGGCATCCTGGCTTAGTCTGGTTCACGACGAAGCTAATACTCCAGCAAGTGAACCACCTACAATTGGAGCAACTGGTAAAAAGCGATAACAGAATTATGCATCCCTATATCTTTGTTTTATTGTTCATAGGCAAAGTTTAATATGAGACAAAGATATAGGGATGGTGTCATGTGGCTTTGTGCATATTTGGTGTGTAATGACTAAGGTTCTGCAAGGCAAGTCACCCCAGCCCTGACTCCTTTCTTACACTCATTACCCCTTGTTTCTTCCTTTTTGGTGCTTCAAGTCATCCCTATATCCTACTTTCATTTTGAAGAAATGATTTTTCCACTTGTATATATATGCACAGAGGGCATAAGAATTTATATAATTATGGCTAAAATACTAGGCGCTAATATGTTATACATCAATTTCTGCTTATTTAAGGAGACACCTATGGCGCCCAAAGGTTTTAAATTGCATTATTTGTGATGCCCAATAGAAGTGCAAACCATTTGACGCGCACGCGTAAGTAAACGCATGCGCAGTACCACTAATTGATGGGCTGGGTTTAGTTTTAGCTGTTACTCGTGGTCTCTTGCCAGAGTCTGACGCGGGCTACTAGATAGCATGGGAGAGGCGATACACGCCCTGCGTTGCATCTTCTGGTTCCTCCGAGCTCACAAGCACGCGGATCGAGCTGGACCGTGGTAAGCCTTCGTCGGTGTGTATTGCATATTGGCCTTTTTCGCGCCGCGGGTCGAGCTTTGCAACTGAGCATCGTTCAGATAAAAACGCTCGAAAATTCTGACCTTCATTGGCGTAAGTAAGTCGATCGTTTGCTACGACGAAGAAGTGAGATGTTGAGACAGACATCCAGACCAGACCCACGACCCCTCGCTGCGCATGCGCGCCGAGGTAAAAAATGATAACCCAGCCTGTATTCTTATATACGACGACAGATGGCAGTCCAGCGACTTCGCAGTGGATCTTGCAACATCATAGGAAAACACAGCCAAAAACTACATTCTTGTACATTTTGCAGGACGCCGAGAGGAGTGTGCCCTGTAGCTAGATAGACTGCTACTTGTACACGGCTTCCGCTTACTAGCTCGCGGGGGCGGAAGCCCCGTCTTCGTTCTGATCCAGCGCCTTATGCGCACTGTGCGCATCCGGCGCCCCGCGAAGTGCACGCAAAGGGCACACGGGATGTAGCGGTCATACAGATGTTGTTCTCTTCGCTCGACTTACATTCACCACTTTTAGGCACGACGTGTAAGTATACATTACTGGCATACCAACATCAGTGTACTGAATCACATGAACTTCCAGTGGCTACTGTGATCTGGTGGTGGTTGGAGGCAACAATGCTCTCTGTGTGGGTATGAATGTCACACTCCAGTGTACACTGATGGGAGGTGTCCTCTACCTGGGAGACTCCTGAAGGAGCACTCAACTTCATCCGAGGAAGACAAAATACATCTTATCAGAGGCTCCTACTATGGCCAGCTCATGGAATCAAATGATACTCATCTTATTTCAACATTGACATTCACCTTTACAACTGAGATTACCATCAACTGCTCTGATACAAGTTCAATTGCTGGAACTACTGTCATTGTTGAAGGTATATACACTTTTCTTAGATACACACATTTCACTTTTCAAAGTAAGTACCTAGCTATACGCCGTTTCTGATTAATCTTGTGGGTTTTAAAAGCCTTAAGGATTAAACATTGGTGTATCAACCATAATTAAATCTCCTGATGACAGGACCACCAAGTGCCCGGATCGACCACTGACGGCCCTGGACAGGATCAGGAGACTCAACAAGACATTCTCCTCAGTGTCTGTGGTGTGGAACATTCCTGACACCAACAATGCCCACATCAGTAGCTACGTGGTGACAGTTGATCCTCCCATTCCCCTGCCAGCCAGTGGAGTCATTGCTGCAGGCAATCCTCTCTTCCAGTCACGACAACTGACCCTCACACTCCTCCATGGCCAGCAGTACTACATCACAGTCACTGCCAGGAGCTGTGGTGATTCTGTGGAAGGTCCTGCTAGCTCTGCACTCAGAGTTAATGTACCAGGTTAGTTTTCCGAGCAACTACAGGTGTTTAATGAGCAATTAAATCTTACAGGACCTCCAAAAGTGGTAAGATGCACAGCCGTCCCTGTCTATGACTATTACTCTAAGAACCTGAAAAGAATCGAAATAGATGGAACCATCGAGGTAGGTCTATCACGTCATGATCTCTACCAACTAAATGTGATGTTTTGGTAGGAGGCGGAAGAAAATGTTACAGTTAACATTTCAGCAGCTGTTGTGAGCTATACAATCAGCACTGTTCCCCTTGGGGTTGAGCCTTCTGATATCAATGCAACAGTAGAGGCCAGTGATCACATTAGCTGTACTAGCACAACGTGCAAGTATTGTGTTAAGAACCTTACTGTGATGTTGGCACCTTCCTACTCCATATACATCACTGCAAATGATTTTCTGTCTGATGGATACTACGGTGACAAAATGGCATGTACAGACACACCGATCGGTAAGGAGTAGCTGAAAGGTAAGATTATTTCAGAGACTGGTATCTATTTGACAGCCAAACATGCATGTATGTACTCATGATATTGCAACTGTTTTTTTCAGGTTTTAAACACAACCTAACACAAATTGATGCACAAAGAATCTTCACATCTGCTGTGAATACTTTGTCTCAGCCTCTCGTAAATCTAGAGTAAAACTCCGATACACAATGTATACACACTGTCCACATGTTAATTCTCTGAATACTCAGTATCTACACAGACAGTGTTGGGAAATCAGCTAATGTTACTGTTTTTCTGACCACCACTACTGCACCTGAGGTAGTGCTGACAGTGGCTACTCTCACTGGAGGTGGAAAACAAGATGTTGTGGTAGAAGGAAGTTTAGAAACAGGTATCGAAAGTTTGCAGTTTGGTGATTATTGTTTTCTAAGGAGGAAATATACAAACACAGAGACACATATGAAAACGAACCTGTGCTATGCAGACGTACATAACCTGATAATTATCGAACCAGCTGGCTGTAGCCCTATATCAAATCATGTCTCATGTCGCTACAAGCTCACTTGTGAAATCGCTTAAAAATGCTTTGTCCAACCATTCCTTAGACACAACACTCGAGTTCAACTGGGCAACATGATGGGCATCACTCTTTCTTTAATAGCTATTCGCAAGTGTATAAAAAGTTAAAAAGTAGCTGGTGTTTTACTTCACAAAATGCAGAGAGAATGAGGATAGAAAACTTTGGGAAAGCATTGTGGCTATAGATGCACTGGGACAGAACTCTATCCCCTATTACATATTTTTTGGTTTTTCAAACATGCACCTTTCCAGTAATAAAGACATGTCATTGATTATAAATATTTATTCTGTGATTTTAATGCAGCCTCACTTTCTACAAGTATCTACCGCAACGCCCGAGTGTCCTCTACTCCTCATAGCAGCAGTTCTGCTATCATCAGTGTGACCCTGCACTGTGCATCATCAACTGCCTCATTGGAGCATTGCTCCTCGTGTCCTATCTCTCGCATCCTGCTACAGAAGAAACGACACCAACAGACCACACCACAGCACCTCTATGATGAGGTCACTCTGCGTTCCACGGTACATGAAATCCTGGTTCAGATCCCAGTGGCATAGGATGTGTGATTGAAAAGATGTGACACTCCAAAACCAGGCCTATGCTAGCATCTGTTAGAAGGGCCCACACAATTTTGAACTGTCTGCGACTGTTGATATGAATAATAATACTACTTTGAAGAGAATGCTGTAATGAATGTTATTGCAGTTTATGAGGGACCATAGGTACATGCGGCATAGATAGGGATGGCATTATAGAAAAACTCTCGAAAATGTACGCCATCCACCTTGTTTGACTAGACTATACCCATAATGGTAGCTACCTAGAGTAATGTGTGAATGACAATGTTTGCATCAGAGTCGCATGTCTCGTACACCATCTGATGGCGGAGACAAGGAGCCTGTAAGTGCATGGATTCATTAGAGGTGCTGTCAAGGTCTCTGACACGAAAAGCAGTGTCCATGAACCACTTACGCTTTGCTCGTTATGGCAGACAAGGGTGAAAGTATTGACCCACAAGAATACTAGCTAGTACGTCAACAAATCCTAAGAAAAAGTTCTCACACACGTCATCCCAATTACAGAAGTACACACACTTCATTCAGTTAACTATAGATTAAGAGTTACTTTTCCTGAGGTATGCCAGTTCGTATCTTCACTTCGTAAGCCTCATTATCTCAGTGACGTCTCTGCGAAAGTTGCAAACGGCCATATGCATCATTAACCCTCGGCGCGCATACGCAGCGAGGTTACGGTAGTTGTTAGAGTCGTATGTATGTCAGGTTATGCCTTCGTACAGTATGTCAGGTTATGCCAGTACGTATCTTCTTAGTTAAGCCTCAGTATTCTCCGTGACGTCTGCGAGAAAGTTGCAACGGCATATGCATCATATCCCCTCGGCGCGCCTGCGACAGCGAGGGTACGTAGTTAAACCCTCGCGCGCATGCGCAATGCGAGGTACTGTAGTTAACAAACCTCGTTGCGCGATGCGCAGCACGGGAGGGTTACTGTAGTTGGGTCTGTCGGTGTGTGTGTGTGTGTGTGTGTTGTGTCTGTATGACTCTCATCTCACTCTCGAATGTCCGGAATAATCGTCCCAGAAACGATACCATCTATCACCATCTATCCTTTTCCCAACGGCGACGAAGGTCAGAAAATATGTGGGGTTTTCTCTGAAATGCCCCGTTGCAGAGCTATAGAGATCGCTTCCAGCATTGTAAATGGCTAATGCCCATTTAAATCGCTGGCGGATAATGACGCATAGCGCTTATATTTAGCACACCGTTCTGCCGCTGCTCTGTCTATCTGAAGGTCACAACGAATGGCGTGTATCGACTCTCGCGTGCTATCTACTACGAGGTAGCTAGCCGTGTCGGACTCTCTGCGAGCCTATTCGCCGAGGGATTGCACTTTAGATGCCTTTTCATTACCCTCGGCGCGCATGCGCAGCGAGGGTACTGTAGTGGTTTGGTATGTTTGTGTGTGTATGGTGTGTGTGGTCTGTTACTCTCAATCTCACTTCATGAGTGTCTGTCGTCTCACAAAGATACGACCTCTGAACGGCAATGAAGGTCAGAAATATGTGGGATTTTCTCTGAAACTGCTCCGTTTGGCAGAGCTAGAGCGTGTGAAAAAGCAATAGGCAACTACACACGACGGTGCGGCTAACATACGGTATAATCGCTCGCGTGCTCTGCGTACCCGCTCGGAGGCACTGCAGAAGCAGTGCAACGCTAGGTACAGGATCGCCTCTGCATCCCATCTCGTAGTGTAGTATAGCAGCGTCAGCTCTGCGCTAGCTGGCAAGGAGACCACGAGTAACAGCTAACTAAACCCCAGCCCATCAATTAGTGGTCACTGAAGCGCATGCGTTACTTACGCGTGCGCGACACATACGCCGAGGTTTGCACTTCAGTGACTTTTCATTGGAGTCAGTCGTGTTTGTCTGTCTGTTAGTCGATATCTCACTCCTCGACGTCTGTTCGTCACAGAACGATACCATCTCCCCAACGGCGACGAAGGTCAGAAATACAGGCGGTTTCTCTGAAAGCTCGTGTGCAAGCTAGAGCGCGAAAATCCAATATGCAAATACACAACGACGGGATGCTTCCACGTCGATCGATCCGCGTGCTCTGCGTACCTCGGAGGCACCCAGAAGATGCAACGCAGGGCGTGTATGCCTCTCGCATGCTATCTAGTAGTGTAGTTAGCCCGCGTCAGACTCTGCGCGAGCTGGCAAGAGACCGACGAGTAACAGCTAAAACTAAACCCAGCCCATAATTAGTGGTACGGCGCATGCGTTTACTTACGCGTGCGCGTCACATGCGCCGAGGGTTTGCACTTCAGTGCTTTTCATTCTGTCTGTTACCACGTTTTCTGCCACCGCGCGCACGAAATCAGGTAAATAGCGATATGATCGGGTTCAGTGCTACAGGGTTGATTTAAAAAAGGCGATTTCGTAAAACTACTGCGTTCTAATAGTTATGGCGTGGAAAACCAAGGAACAAGCCAATATGGTAATAGCACAGCATTACCTCGCCTTCGTCCGCGCGCTCTGTGTATCTTGAAGGCACAGAAGTCACAACGAAGGGCATGTATCGACTCCCGCATGCAATCTACTACTGTAGCTAGCCGCGTGCCAGACTCTCCCGAGCTACTAAACGCGATACAACGAGTAAAGAAAAGAAAAGCCCAGCCCATCAATTAGTTGTCACCGCGCATGCGCAGTTCGCCGAGGGTTTGCACTTAGTGCGTTTCATTCAGAGAGATAGAGATGATCCCGTGTACCCAAGATTGGTGGATATGTGTAGACTCAGTTGGAGACAGTGATGATCATGTTATCGGTAATTGGTGGTTGTCGAAGTGAGAGTGGTTTAGTCACAGTTATTCCATCATCTTTAGAACCAACTGTGGCATAGACTGGGTCCTCGCTTCGTGTCTTTTGCTGCCGACACACCCTTTTGAGTAGCAAATGTACACTAGAATAGCCGCAACACAACTTGTCACTCCAAGTACGAGGGGACTTATTGCTTCGCCATTTTCAGATGGTTGGTGGTTGGTGTTGGGTCATTACCCTGAATGGTAATTGTGACGACCAGATGGACTTGTTATCCTGGCACTGAGGTTCTGTTGTGATGGATATGGTCCTTCATCCGCAGTGTGTTCAATATGAGGATATCTATACACCCAGTGGATGTGTTTTGACCTTCACTGAACACCACTTGAAATGGTTCAGGAATAGAGACATCCTCAAGGATGGCTACGGGGTAAATTACATACAGATCTGCATAGCAAATGTTTAGATTAGCTTACATGCTGTGCCGTCTTGTGCAGCGAGGCCCACTGTGAGAGCTGTTTCAAAACCACGTCACCCCAGACTCCACACAGACACTGACTGATTCACTGTCCTCTCCAATCCTGTACTCATCAGTTACAAATCTAACCTCTGCATCTGGTGAGAAACAAGAACAAGTCTCTCTGTTTTATATGATAGCAGCAGTGTGGGTTCAAATTCCGTGATTGTAATACTTGCGTCTGTACATAAGAATCCTATTATTGGTAAGTTGCTCAACCAATAATAGTGTAACTCCAGTAATCATTGATGAGAACTCTGGTTGTAGTGTGGGGTCTCCCAAGAGTGTGTACTCAGCCGAAATTAAAGTCGGACGAATAAAGACTACGAAATTTTCTATGGTGTCTTCAAAATCGTTATCGTCCACAACAATCAATGTGGTGGCAGCATGTCATTCCATTATCATCTCCCTCCACAAGACAAGCTCTAATGAAGACAAGCTCGACAGTTTAAGCCAGGAGCCGTGAATCAACACCAAATGCTGTATAAAACGGCATTATAAGGTGAGCTTTCTGGGACTAATGAAAAGCACTAAGTGCAAACCTCGGTGCTAACGCGCGAGTTGTAGTCTCGCTGTATGCTGGCTGACGACGGAGCCAGTAACACGAGTCTCCCGTAAGCACAGGGTAGTTGGTTAGAGCAATTGCTCAGGTGTTTCAGAGGCTCTCATATTTGCTTTATTCAATCTATCCACTCTTCTGTGCTCCAATGCTCTCGCCAGATGTTTTATAGATGGGAAGGCATGGCTGCATCCACAAACTGCTCGCCACCTGAACTATTATGCTACATTGCGAATATACCTTGCTCAGCATGTTTATCCAAAGAGAAGCCTGTGGATCATAAAACCAATGTGGCGTAGCGCATGCTCCGGCGACATGACGCGTGCGCATGTCGGAGAGGACGCGTGCGCCATCGACCGCACGTTGGCTTTTTCGCTTGTTTTCACGCCATATCTCAGGAACGCAGTCGTTTCGGGAAAATCGCCACATTAGTATCAATCTTCTCGTCGTTCACAACCCGTTGGTACCACTCATTGGCCGCCTCGTAGCCTGTAGTGCTAGAACTCGCGCGGACAGACAGACGGACAGACAGACGGACAGACGGCCGGACACTGACAGAACGACTACTGTAACCCTCGCTGCGCATGCGCGCCGAGGGTTAATTAATGCACTTCATGGGATGCTACCACAACATATGGGATGGTCACTCTTGTAGTGGCCTGTGGCTACCAGAAAATACATTATACTTCATCAGATGCTACCACAAACCGGCTGGTCTCTTGATTATGTGGCAACACAAGCATGCAAGCTTCACCATATAGGGATGCTAATCATAGTCTTAGTAAGTTATGGTGCATGGCTCCCTTGTATAGGTCATCATGGCAGTAGACACATGTAACAATAGACCATGTGATGCCAAGAGAAAAAAGAGTGGGAGCTCTGGACAGCTGTTCGGGCTTGTTGGCCCTCATCAGCAAAGCATACCTCAACTTCTCTCTCTGGCATCACGAGTTATAAAGGAAAAAGTTGAGGGCAGCACTGTGGTTTTGACTAATGAGATTCATCCCCACAAAGCTTGCTCAGGCGCAGCGTTTGTGGTCTGAACTAATCCCACAAGGCGTGCAGTACGAGCCAAAACCCGAATTCAGCATGCTGACATAGTGGATTGGGCCTCGGCAATGAAGCGCAAGCACTCATAACACACATG